GATGACTCAGGAGAGAGGCAAAGCAGAAAGGAAGGACACATTCTGAAGCTCTCAAAATTCCCCTTAAGCATCCTTCCCAGAATTTTTACATAGTGTTTGTTGCATTGAATTCAACAGAGCTAATCAGGTAGCTACACCTAACTACTAGAGAGGTTGGGAAATAGGATACTTTAACTGAGCCTGGAGTTGTGGCACATATCTGTAATTCCAGCACTTAGGAGGCTAAGGCAGGTGAATCTTGAGGTCAAGGCCAGTTTCAGTTACCTGCCAAATTTTACCTAGCATGGATAACATAGTGAGACCCCTATCTGAAAAAGAATTAAAAAAGGCATGGTGGGGCTGGGAAGGTGGCTCAGTGGTAGAGAGCTTGCCTTGCATGCCTGAGGCCCTGGGTTCGATTCCTCAGCACCACATAAGCAAAAAGAAAAACGCTGAAAGTGGCGCTGTGGCTCAAGTGGTAGAGCGCTAGCCTTGAGCTGAAGAGCTGAGGGACAGTGCCCAGGCCCAGAGTTCAGGCCCCATGACTGGACCCCCCCCCCCCAAAAAAAAAAGCATGGTGGCTCATGCCTGAAATTTTAGCACTCTGAAAGCTAGGCAAGATTGTGAGTTTGAGGCCAGCCTCAAGCTCAGATCCTGTTTTAAAACCCTGTTTAAGACCCTATTAAAAAAAACAGAGAGAGAGAGAGAGACTGTTAAAGGAGGGAGGGGAGGAAGGAAGGACATTCTTTAACTGATCATATTGCCACTTATTGGCATTCAGGGTATTCTGCCGCCCCCCTCCCTCTTCCTTTTTTAAATTGTAGTTCCTTCCAAGGATCTAGATTATTCGTGTGTATTTCTACTCCCAATTGCATTAGTATGAATAAAATTGAAAGTTCAGTTTCTTAGCAAAACAAGCTACTTTTTTTTTTTTTTTTTGTGCCAGTCTTGGGGCTTGAACTTGAGACATGGGTGCTGTTCCTGAGCTCTTTTTGTCCAAGGCTAGTCTCTATACTTGAGCCACAACTTCATTTCCAGCTTGTTAGTACTTAATTGGATATAAAAGTCTCTTGCTGGGCTGGCTTCTCAGACTGCTGAGTAGTTAGAATTACAGGCATGAGCTACTACAAACTACATTTTATGTTTAATAGTTACATGCAGCAAATGGCTACTATTACACAGGTATAATCCCACACACACACCCTTCCCTCCTTTCCCCTCCCTTTATAAATGTGAGGCAAATACTGTTCTAGTGAGCCCCATCCCAGGTGATATTTACCATTTCTATCATGACAGAACGTTCTGGTGGACAGGACTGGCTCTAGACTTGGAAAGAGATGAGGATACAGAAAATGTGTACCTTGGTTGATTTTTTTTTTTTTTTTTTGGCCAGTCCTGGGCTTGAACTCAGAACCTGGGTGCTAGTCCTGAGCCTCTATGGGCTCAAGGCTAGTGCTCTACCAATTGAGCCACAGCTCCACTTCTGGCTTTTTCTTTCTCTCTCTCTCTCTCTCTGTCTCTCCCTTCCTTCCTTCCTTCCTTCCTTCCTTCCTTCCTTCCTTCCTTCCTTCCTTCCTTCCTTCCTTCCTTCCTTCCTTCCTTCCTTCCTTCCTTCCTTCCTTCCTTCCTTCCTTCCTTCCTTCCTTCCTTCCTTCCTTCCTTCCTTCCTTCCTTCCTTCCTTCCTTCCTTCCTTCCTTCCTTCCGGTGGTGGTGATGGTGGTTGTGGGGCCTGAACTCTGGGCCTAGGTGCTGTCCCTCAGCTCTTCAGCTCAAGGCAAGTGCCCTACCACTTGAGCCACAGTGCCACTTTTGGGTTTTTCTGTTTTTGTGGTGCTGAGGAATCGAACCCAGGGCCTCATGCATGCAAGGCAAGCACTCACCACTGAGTCACTTTTCCAGCCCCAGACATCTGGCTTTTTCTGAGTAATTTATTGGAGATAAGAGTCTCATGGTCTTTTCCGCCCTGGCTGGCTTTGAACTGTAATCCTCAGATCTCAGCCTCCTAAGTAGCTGAGCAGTAAGCATGAGCCACAGAATCCAGCTAGCTTGATTAATTTTATGATTAGCATGGTTTTTCTCAAGAATTCACTTAGTTTTATCTAAAGTAATAGTGTCAGATATTCAGCTACTCTATGAAGTTCCATTTTATATCTAATCTATAAAGAAAATTCTGTAAAAACAGAGGTGATTGCCAGAAATTGGGATTAGAGGGCTGCAAAGTTGGCTCAGTGGTAGAGTGCTTGCCTTGCATGCATGAGGCACTGGTTTGATTCCTCAGCACCACAAAAGCAGAAAAAGCCAGAAGTGGCACTGTGGCTCAAGTGGTAGGGCACTTGCCTTGAGCTGAAGAGCTGAGGGACAGTGCCCAGACCCAGAGTTCAGGCTCCATGACTGACAAAAAAAAAAAAAGAAATTGGGATTAGAGTGGAGGGCATTGAATATAAAGGTATAAAAGAAGTTGGTTATGGAATTGTGTTGAAGAAACTTTCAGGGCTCATACCTGTATATATTAAAGGGATAAATTTTACTAAATGTAAGTTATGCCTCAAAAACCTATTATTAAAACATACCACACCTTTACACAAAATGTATTATTGTTTTTCACTTAGAGGTTAGAGGAAACTGTGGCTCAGAAACTTGCCAGTGACTCAGGACTTGCCTGTGGTTCTTCAGTTGATATGAGGTGCTTCTACCACTTAAGCTAAATCTGCCTGACTCTAGAGCTCCTGCTCTTCCTACTGATTGGTACCTTTTCCCTGAAATGATGAACAGTACGTGGCTTTTGTAAAAGGCTGACCTCTGGAAGCTGAGAGCCCTGTCTGCCCTCAGTAGCTTGTCAGAGTAGCTGTCATATTCTCATTTCAAAATTTGAGCCCTTGACAGATGTCATTTCTCTCAGTTTTTAGCTGCCCCAGGCACGGTCTCCTTGTGTGTCTGTGGCCCTCATTTTGAAGCAGCAGGAGACCTGTTTCAGTGTTGATGAGTTTTTTGATTATGAAAAGCAATTTTGCATTTTGTCCAATCAGCAACACAGAGTGGCTTCTCAGTGGGAGAGTGCTCATGTGTTTACAGGGCCAGTCATGCTGCTAACACTTGTCTTAGCCTGTTTTGTGCTGCACTTACCAAATATCACAGACTGGGTAATTTATAATGAAGAGAAGTTGATTTCTTACTGCTCCAGAGGCAGAGAAGTTCAGCATCGAGGTGTTGGCATCTGGCAAGGGCTTCTTGCTGTGTCATCTTGTGGTAGAAGAGCAGAAGGGGGAAACAAAGACAAGAGAGAACAAGGAAGAGCCAGTTTGGTCATTTTATAAGGAACCCACTTCTAGGATAACAGCGTCAGGAAGGCTAAGTCACCTCTCAACTTAGCATCACACTTCGGTGCTGCTACAGTGGCCATTCATTTTCCTGCACGTGGTTTCTGTGTAGAAGCAGTTGGGCAGCACTGCTCTCACTGGCTTATTAGGCAGACAGCTATGAGTAGAGGAGAGTCCCATAGCAAAGAGAGTGTATGGTAGTCTGTGTGTGGTCCTCCCCTCAGCACCATTGTTCCACCATCATTGTTTGTGTGTGTATACAGTTTGCAACTTATTTTCATCTTGGTGTTTTCTCTCACTTCTTAACTCTGATTGTGAAAATACTTTTTCCTAAGGCTCAACTGAAATAGATGTGTCTTCTTTAACTCCCATCCTCAAGTTGTCATTTCAGTTTGTGGCCTGTTGCCCTCAGGTGGTTTGTCAAGGCTGCATGTTGGATACGTTGAGGGAAGTTCTAGCTTCTGAAATTAACCAGTGGCATTTTCCCTTCTGCCGGATTGATGGCCTGAGTATCCTGTCCTTGGAACCCATCCTTTCTCCACCTTTCATTCCAGAACCCTAGACCAACTAATTAATTGCAGAGTGCTTGTCCTCAAGCCAGCTGTTCACTGCCTGCCTTCAACATTTGATTTGTTTTCTATCCTGAGGTGCTGCAGGGAAGATAATGACCTAAAAAAATGCCCACTCATCATGAGAACCTAGTTAGGAGGGGATTGTTTGATTTTTGTCAAGTGTAAATAATCCATTTGGAGACTCATTTTCAAACATGTGTCAGCCTATGTGCAAGAAATGGCTAGATAAACAAGGTGGGACAAATTGGCCAGCTAATAGACCTTAATGACAGATTTTCCCACTAATCCAAATGGAGAATGTGCTTCAGTAAGATAATTAGCAGCACATTTAGGCAGATGATACTTATTATGCACAGATTTTCAAGTTATTTCTTTCCCTTGAATGAATCTGGAAAGAAATCTTGCCTATATTTCCTTGCTTGCATTAAGATATATAATGGCAATAATGACCAAGACCTTGTCCTCTGCAGGTGCAAGGGGGTGTGTAGGGCACTTGTTCCCTTCCTCCAGCAGGCTGTGTGTTCATTTAGGCACTGGGTTTCCTAAGTGAACAACTGACTAATTTTATATCAAGTCACTGAAGCCCAGAGAGGGAAAGTGACTTGGCCAATGCCACACTGAAGGCAGAGCTATCTGTGGGATAGTGGGTCAACGTTGTGCAAATTATATCACTTCTATCTTCTTCTGTGCTCCTCAGCACCTTCATCTGTAAGATGAGACAAATGGCATAGGTACTTTGTGTATAGTCCTTTTCCTATATGTTGCCTTCCTTTGAGCAGAAACTGGAGGTTGGTTGGTAGGTTGGTTTTTTCGAAAGTTGCTGGGATTTAAACTTGCCCTTATGCAGGCCAGGCAAGTGTTGTACCCCTGAGCTTCAGTTATTTTTTAGGTGGGAGGGTCTCAAGTTTTTTCTAGGCTGGGCTCAGACCTCTTTCTACTTCTGCCTCTAATAGAGCTGGAATTATAGGTGTGTACCACCATTCCTGTCTTGTTTGTTAAAATAGAGACTCACTAACTTTTGCCACAGTATTCCTGTCTCTTGTCTCTCGAGTAGATAAACTGAATAATTTAAAGATGTCAAGGAGTATGAGCAATTAATAATTAATGTTGTTTTCTTTGTCTTCTCTGTAGGATCCTCAGTCTTCCAGAATGAACCCTGTTTACAGCCCCGTGCAGCCTGGGGCTCCTTATGGCAACCCTAAGAACATGGCCTACACAGGTGAGTGATAAGAGAATGAGTCTCATTTTAAGAAATGGTGGTTAAGGACATTACCAGATATCTTGCTGAATCACTTTTGATGTACTGGTAGAACTTGAGAACGTGGAGAGGATATGTCTGAAGTTCAGGGATGATAGAAGTGACATCTGGATGTAAAGATAATTGATTGTCAACAAGTAGAACAAGAGGGAGGTGATGGTTGCTTACTATACTCCTGTCATGGGCCTGGACTGGGCTGTGTACTTCTACATAACTTTTTTCACTTTTATCTGAAAACACATTCCTAGCACCATTTTTTTTGCGGGGGGGGGGGGGGGGTCGTGTTGGCTTTGGGGTTTGAACTTAGGACTTGGATACTGTCACTGAGCCTCTTTGTGCTCAAGGCTAGTGCTCTACCACTTACAACTTGAGCCCACAGCACCACTTCCGATTGTATATATGTATATATGTGTGTGTGGGGGGGTGTTAATTGGAGATAAGAGTCTCATGGGAACTTTTCTGCCCAGGCTGGCTTCGAACCATGATCCTTGAATCTCAGCCTCCTGAGTAGCTAGAATTACAGGTGTAAGCTACCAGCACCTAGTTCAGCAGGGACACTGGATGACAAGTTGAGCCACTGAGTCAGTCCAAGAGCTAGTCTGCTAAGTGAGGTATAAAACACCTATGGCTCGTTACTTTTTGTTAGAAAATACCATTTAGAGATAAAAACATTCTAATTAATACAGATTTTTTTAAACTTTTTTTTTTTTTTTGTACGGATACTGGGGTGTGAACTCAGGACCTTGTGTTCTCCCTTACCTTTTCCTCTCAAGACTGGTATTCTACCACTTAAGCCACGCCTCTACTTCTAGCTTTGTGTGGGTTAAATGCCCCCCAGAGTCTCTTGGATTTGTCTGCTACTCAGTCTTCTGAGTAGCTAGGATTATCAGGAGGCATGAGCCACTGACACCTGGCTTTGTCACACTATCAAAAGGACAGACATATATGACCTTGGTAGGCCTTTTCATCTCCTCAGATGGCTAGCTCAGCATGCCTGAGTTAGCCCAGTGGAAGAACTGGCTGGCATTACCAGCAGTGTTCCAGGGTTTCCCCTAACTAACAAATACTTCCTCTATGAAGACTCTCTGGTGACTGTCACAGAGCTTTTCTCTTTACTTGCCCATCCTATCAAACAAAGTTCCTTTTTCAGACCATCACTAATGGCTCATATACCTGTAATTGTAGCTACTGAAAAGTCTGAGATCTGAGGATAGTGGTTCAAAGACAGCCTGGGAAGACAAATCCATGAGACTTTAATCTCCAGTTAACCACCAAAAAGCCAGAATTGGAGGTGTGGCTTAAGTAGTAGAGTGCCAGCCTTGAGGAAAAAGGCTAAGCAAGAGCACAAGGCTCTGAGTTCAAACCCCAGTACCCCACCACACACACATATGCATACACACATAACAAAAGTTTCTTTTTCCCTAGGAAATTTAGTAATATCACTACCCCCATTTTAGACATGAAAACACCAAGTACTGAGCCCCAGTACAGGGCACTGAACATAAGGAGTTTAATAATGGTTATTATTTACAAACAAAGGCAGGTAGGACATCTGACAGATGAAGTGAATGAGAAAATGTAGGTTGTCCAGCATGGCATTTTGCTTATTATAACACATTTTCAAGAATATTAATGTCAGGATGGCAGTAACAGTATAAACAAATACATGGAATTAAGAAGGTATGGTCTGATAGGACATGGTGATAACATGTCTGTAAACCCAGCTACACTAGTGGTGGAAATTGGGAGGATTGTGATTTGGAAACTGTTAGCAAGACCCCTTGTCAACAAACAAGCCAGATGTGATAGTACATATCTGTAATTCTAGCTACATTGGAGGTATAGAGAAGAATCATTTACAAACTTAGGAGAGTGTTTCAGAAAGTCTTCAAAAAAATATCTGATTTTATTGGTTGGGAGTGTGGCTTAGTGTAATAGTGCTAGCCTAGCATGCATGAAGCCCTGGGTTCCATTCCTCAGTACCACATAAACAGAAAAGGCTCGGAGTGGTGCTGTGGCTCAAGGGGTAGAGTGCTAGCCTTGAGCAGAAGAAGCTCAGGGACATATATATATATATATATATATATATATATTTTAAAATATGATGAACTATTTGTATAAAGCATGCAAGCATGTTTGGTGATCACTGACTTAAGCTTCTAAGAATACATGTTAAGGGCTGGGAAGGTAGCTCAGTGGTAGAGCACTTGCCTTGCATGCTCGAGGCCCTGGGTGCGATTCCTCAGCACCACATAAGCAAAAAGAAAAAAAGCCGGAAGTGGCGCTGTGGCTCAAGTGGTAGAGCGCTAGCCTTGAGCTGAAGAGCTGAGAGACAGTGCCCAGGCCCAGAGTTCAGGCCCCACGACCGGACCCAAAAAAAAAAAAAAAAAAAAAAGAATACATGTTAATTTTTGAAAACAGTGTTATTTGCAGCTGCTCATGGCTTTTTGTTTGTGTGTGTGTAGTATGGGGAATTGAACCCAAGACCTTATGTATTCTAGGCAAGCACTTTACCACAAAGCTACACTTCAGCCCCAACTTCTTACGTTTTAAAATCAGGATTCACTGTACAACTAAAATAACATCCTGAAATATATTATGAATTGAGTTTGATGTGTTACTTTTATCCTTAACTTTGAATTTCATGTTTGTATTTATCACAACAGCTTTATTAATCTTAGAATAAATATTTGTTTTCTTATTTTATTTTTTATTGCCAAGGGGATATACAGAGGGGTTACAGTTACATAAGTAAGGTAATAAGTACATTTCCTCTCAAACTTGTTACCCCTTCCTTCATTTTCTCCCACTTTCCCTCCCCTTAATCCTCCTCCCCAAGAGTAAATATTTTCTATTTGGAACTTTTTTTTTTTGCTGGTCCTGGGGCTTGAACTCAGGGTCTGAGTGCTGTTCCTGAGCTTTTGCTCAAGGTTGGTGCTCTACTACCTGAGGCACGCCACACTTCTGGCTTTTTCTGAGTGATTTATTGAAGAAAAGGGGTCTCATGGACTTTCCTGCCTGAGCTGGCTTTGAACTGCAGTCCTCAGATCTCAGCCTCCTGAATAGCACAGGTGTGAGTCACCAGTACTCAGTTGAAACTTATTTTATATATTTTAATAGGATTAATTCCAGTAACCAGGACACTCAGGACACTATCCCACATCCTTCTAACTCAGAGAACTTTTCTCTCCAGCGCCCATCATCTTATCTCCTTTCCCTGATGGCTATAAAAAGCAGTCCTTTTGATTACCAGGACCCATAAATTTTCTCAGAGCAGCCTGACATCAACTCACTATTTAGACTTCTTAATGTTTTCCTCGTCATTTTTGATCCCTTGGGGATTTCTTCCCTAAAAATCTCAACTTTGTCTAAGATTTTTTTGGTGGGGGGTCGGTTGTGGTGTTTGAACTCCAGGTCTAGGCACTGTCCCTGAGCTATTTTGCTCAAGGGTAGCATTCCACCACTTTGAGCAACAGCTCTACTTCTAGTTCTCTGAAGATAAGAGTCTCATAGAGTTTCCTGCCCAGGCTGGGTTTGAACCACGATCCTCAAACCTTAGAATTCTGAGTAACTAAGATTACAGGTGTGAGCCACCAGTACCCAGCCCTAAGATGCTATTATAATAGTAAGATATTTGCTGTACCATATCTATCTTTTCTAGGTATTACATAGATTATCGTTTCTCCATATTGCTGAAATAGAAGATCCAAGTAAAGATAATTTATAAACAAATGCCATATATAGTACACTAGAGTAAATACTTACTGTTGATACAGTAAGTATTGGCTATGTTAAAAAAGTACTAATTGCCACTTGGCAAGCATATGCTAGGGACGGCATATATTATATATACATATATTATGTATATATATGATATATATTATTAATCATAAACCTCAAGATCTTCTTTACACGTGAAGAAACTATGATAGGTTAATTCATGTTGTGAGATTTAGCTAGTCCGTATAGCTAAGGGAGGAAGAAAAATTTGAACTCAGATTTTATTTCAAAGTGTTTTTCATATGTGTGTGTGTGGGGATATAGTTATCTGGTTTGTCTTAAAATTATTCACTCCTTTCACTGCAACCATGAATAAGCTAAAGAAGAGGTGGTTTTCAGTTTCTAGGTCTAGGGAGCCTTCTCTTTGAGACCCTAGAAGTCTGCTGTTGGCCAGGAGTTTGGGGCAAAAATGGAGGCGGTTGGGCCCATTATGGTGTACTATTTCAGTAATAATGGGTTTGAGATCAAAAGAAATGGAGGGAAACACTTCTGATTTGAAATTCTCTCAGACATATGAAATAATTTGATGATACAGTGCTTTCCAATGAACTGCTATCTTCTAGTTAGTTGACAATGTTTTCCCCCTTTACAAAATGTTCTTTTGCTAATGCCTTGAACTCAGTGTTTTATAAACTAAGTGTATTTTTATACTTGCAACAGTCTTGTAGCATTGTTATTACTAGCTTCTTGTACATCTTTAAAAAAGTGAATTTAGAGAATGAATGCACCAAAGATGGTAAAATGCTTAAGTATAGCTAGAGTTAGACTGAATCATAGGTACTGATTCCCAGTAGGATAGCAAGTGAAGATGGGCCTATCTATGTAGGTTTAGATGAGATTATGAGGACCTTCGTGATCAGATTGTGCTCTTGTTTAAAAAAGAGGAAGAGACAGCAGAACTTTATGTAATATCTGCAAGCCAGGAAAAATCCTCATTAATGGTGCCATGCTAACATGTAATCAAGGACCCCCAGCCTCTAGATACATGAATTATTTAAACCACCTAGCATATAATACTTTCTTATAGCGGCTTAAATTGTCTGAGACAGATAAGTACAACAAACATCTGAATGCTCTTCGTCTACATTTACCTTTACAGTGGGCTCTTGACAGATTAGGATTTTTTTTTTCTTTTTTGTCGGTCATGAGGCTTGAACTCTAGGCTTGGGTGCTGACCCTGC